TCTCCTAGATGCGAAGTCGAAACTGGAACGAAAAAACTATCGATGTTGAATACATAGATGATTTGCTATGATATCGTTGAGTTTCATTGAGAAAAGTTACGAGGTGTAAGAGTGAGAGGAGCAGGAAAAAGGAATAGAAATGTAGCACTGCCGGCACAAATTCGCTTGCTCCAACCAAACATTGATTTGCACCCACCATTGTGGTTGTATCACAAATAATATCCTGACGTGAAAAATTGTAATAGGCAGTAAGTAAAAAGAGTTAACATTGTGATTTCGACTACAGCCTCAGCTTAATTGGGTTCATTATCGATTTGGGCTCCCCAGATCAGTCCCTTTGACGGGTGATTATTAGTGACACTGGTAGATAGAAAACTAGCTAAGACAAAGGCGAAACGAAGAATACGCATGATGTAATGGTGAACGTGTTAGGCCCCGAAAAGGATAACACCGCGTTCGTTCTCCACCGCAGACATCTGCGGTCTGGAGTTCTGCGAATATCTCTTGTTCTATCACACATAATACCACGCCGTGACAAATTGTAATAGTCAGTAAAAAAAGTCAACATTGTGATTTCAAACATTGATTTTCGTTAGAAAAAGTACATCGGTTTGTCCTAACGTATGAGATAGTCGTCCCACAACATTTTCAGCTACTAAAAGGCAATCTCGCTCATTTCAACTTTTGAGGTTCCATCATCCATCCATATCATTTATCCTCTCACTGATTATCCAATTAGTCAAGGAGACTTCCTATTAAGCATCCACTTTCCCTCACAAGATGCCAGAGTACCCTAGTGATTCTACTGTATAGGATGACACGAAAATTTTTATTTTTCATAGAAACTCTTAATTGAGAATCTCAGTTATGTAACAACCTCATCCGAAGTGCTAAAACAAACCGCTTTTTTAAACCTAGAAAATTTTTCTTACTTCTATGCTTTCTAATGAATTAATAAGAGCTATAACTGAGTATATTCAAGGTTTGCTTCCAAATCTCTTCCAGAAAACAGAGTTTATTTATTGCAGGCGACTTTCAATCATCTCCTATACCCTTTGCAATAACTCTGTTTCATGCTTTCAGACGAACGCCCAAATTGAATCACACTCATCCTGATGTATATGTGAACAAATATGATTAAACGAATAAGTCGGAAAGAGATAAAGCTCAAAACCTTCGTGATCGACGGACCCCTAAGGGGTGCTCCGCGCATTCCTTTCCACTAAGCAGGTGGTTGAATGCATATCTGGATTATATAAGGCTATGGTGCGGCCTACCAATATATCAAGTCAGTGCTCTTATTCTTCCATAATAAATGTGGTACCAACCTGCCCACACCAGAATATGGGAAGCATTGGTGAGCATGGGACGGGTGATCGAACTGTCGACGGATCCTGTGTCTATTGCATGGCATCTCAAAACACTGTGCTACATACGACTACGGAGGAAATAATTGAATCCTATGCACTAAAGACTCTCCTGAATCAAGCTGCTACATAGAGCAAGCACAAGGTCGCTTCCAATTTCCGTTCAATGGAGATGTTTCAGAATTCAGCAATAAATTGTTGCTGCAGTTGTTCTTGATAGACTTTGATGCTCGCAAAGAAGGAGAAATAAAAAAAAAACAAAGGAAACTCTTCTATATCTGTGAACATTGATGAAAACAGCTCTTCAAGAACTAACTCGGGTTACAGGCAAACATCGAGGATGAGATAAATAAAAAAAACTTTCTAGCATTCATGGAATTATGCAGCTCATTTTGGTTGCTCAGATGCAAGGATTGGTTAAACGGTGTTGTGGAAAGAAATAGTGAAGAAATTATTATCACGACAGTAGGAATGGGATCAAGTGGAATCTCAACAGACAACTAAAAGTTCCTGCCGTCCACCTGAGGGAGAAGGCTGACGTAGAGAGTGAAAACAATGTTGTTACGGATGATGGCTACTCAATACTTCTGTAGACGAAATTTGTTTGATAGGCGTAGGATAGTCGGTAAACTGAGGTGAACATTATCACGTCAACATTCAGAGATAACCAAAAGCGACAAAGGCGGTCGCTTCTTATCTAGAAGGCCAACAACGAATCGTACAGTAAACATTGGTTTTTGAAATGTCATCACTCGTCACGACTGCTTTTCCCTTCATTTCTGCGTAGATATGGTGTGAGACTAAAATAATGCAGTGTTGGAGGCTTGAAAAAGACGTAGGGACATACAGCATTCGTACATTTTCAAATACAGGGATTGTTTTTCGGTATAGCCTGATAATAGTTGTAGATAAAGTTATCCTAATCACAGTGAATCTCTTTTTCCATTTCTCATTTTGTCGTTCCTCTCCCTTTTTTCATATCTTACTCATCTTTTTTACTTTTTTTTACAGTGACAAGCTCTTGAACACTCATGAATGAGACGTTTTCTTCTTCAACAATCGCCGGGTTTCTAAACAGCATACATTTACTTCCATAAAGAAAACACAATACAATACAACACTAACTGACGTTTCGGCAGTATTTCAGAGCCTGGAAGGGTATGCTGATATACAATCTACTAGGCCAAACGCTTCAATTACACTTACAAAAAGACGGAAAACTCTTTGGTAATTACATGACCAACAACTTCTCGAAAAAACCCACGCTTTTTCGTGACTTCCAATGAGGAAGTTTGGAACAGCTGATTATAGTCGCATGTGGTTGACGACTACACCATCCCACATCAAAAATCGATGCGAACATACGGGATCAGGTCGCGTATGGCCTCCGGGCATTCGTCCCTGCTATTCATTGTAGGGTTTTTGGCATTTATCCAAAAAGCCTCAAGGAGTTTTCGCGCTGGTGTTTTGGACTCCTGTGCAAGGATATTGACTTTTACTTCAAAATCGTCTCCGCTATGCTTTTGCATTCAATGCGCGCCTAGTGGGGTGCTTCGTCTTAGTTTTCGTTTGCCATCTAGGTGTTCTTTTATACGGATACACAAAGGTCTGCCCGTTTCGCCAATATATTCATCTCCACAATTATTACAAGAAATCAGGTATATCGTACCTGAACTCATGCAATCACCGTCCCTGCCGTAAGGGCAAATTACGCAATTTGTTGTTTCACACAGACGGTCATACAGGCGGTTGCGAACTAATTGGCGACGTAGAGTAGCCGGTGGTATTTCAACTATCGCTACCGATTCCTCTAGACTTGCCCTTTTTAAGCATCGTTTTATAGCCACGCTTACTTCATCGCTTATAAAAGGTAACATAAACGGGACTTTCTTTTGGCCAAGTGTTTCGCGTGGGCGCGTCGTTCTCCTTGTAAACATATCTCGTGGGGTTACAATTTCGTAGTCATTGGAGATGGCTATTTGCCGAGCCAAGTCGCGCGATTCTTCCTTTAGTTCCCTGGTAGTGCACACAGAGGTGGCTGTTCGAAACATGTTTCTCACAATCGCCCTCTTTATGTGTGAAGGGTGGGAAAAAAGGAAATGAATGAGTATGTTCTTGTTACTTGGCTTTCGATACCACTTTGTCAGGTAACCGCTACTTGATAGGTTTATTTGAACGTCCAAAAACGGAAGCCAGTTTTCTCTCGGCTTCTCACGGGTGAACTTTATGCACTCGGACTGCTCGTTCAATAATTCAAAGAATTTGTCCGTCTCCTCCTGCGTGGAGAAGACGATAAAACAATCATCTACATATCTGCAGTAGAGTAGTGGCCGGAAATCGAGAACAGGGGCTTCTATCTTAGACATAAACACAATGGCAAGGCTTGGTGCCAATCGCTATCCCATTGCCAACCCCTTTTGTGCGAAATATTTCCCAGACCATCTGAAAATCATGACTCATGAATGAGTCAATCGCAGATGTTTTGCTGAGATATTCAGGATCGTTGCTCTACAAGACGAACCGGGATTGAATCTGTGATTAAATGGTAGTAGAACTTGGAATTAGTTGCCCATATTAATTGTCCTCAGAATTCTCTTTTAATCAGCGCTACTCTCAAAGGGTTGGAAGCGCCAAAAAATTAACCCTCCTGTATAAAAATTAACCCTTATGCTCTTGCAATAACCTTGCTTTAGTTCAACAGTCTAGTTGTAATCCGTGGGCCAATAATAACCTCAGTAATCTAGGATTGTTCTCAGAGTGACCAGGTTGGAAACTTCATAAGACTTTTCCAAAAGACCACAAAGAGGTTATCAAATAAATAAAATGCTATGAATACGGCTGTATCGATTCCATTAGAATTCTCTAGAAGAACTGCTGAAATCCATTGTTATAATGTTATATGCAGAAAATAATCACTATTTTTCATCATATTACTTAATAATTCATATGAACGAAGCTTCCTAGAACATTATCCGATAACGGTATCCTTCAATGTTGACTTCTGCAGCGGCCGGCATTGCGTTAAAAATGTTGTAACCATAAATGTTGTTAGCAGTTTTTTACAAAGTTAAATCGCCAATATGTTGAAAACTGAAAAAACACCATTTACACTACTAACTTTTTATCTGCTGCCTACTAGCATTTCTTACGGTAGGGTATTATATGAGATACAACCACAATGATGCTGAGATATTTGCAAAACTCCGGACCGCAGGTGTCTGCGGTGGGGAACGCGAGAACTATCTGAGAGACGGGCAAAACAAAGAAACCGCATAGTGTGGTAGTGAACGCGTTAGCTCCCGGAAAAGGTAGTAACACGTTCGTTCTCTACCACAGACACCTGCGGTTCGGAGTTTTGCATATATCTCAGCATCATTGTGGTTGTATCGCATCATTTACACTGTTAAAACGTTTGGGAAAGCTTCTTCTATACGCGTAGCAACATCTCAGCCACTTCAATTAGTTAAAAATGATCAGCAGTTATCGAGAGGCTATTTTGCATTGAAATTCGCTGTGCTTTCACCATGAAAGGATAAACTTTGACAAAAATGATCCCTTCAAAGAGAAAAGGGATTAATATAGTGTGGAATTTTTACTTATAGTAAAGTGATACTGAGTACCAGTAGAGTATATTCATTCATCTTTAACATTTTTCCTACGACGTTCAGAATAAAAGAATGTAAAGAAGGTGGTGGATAAACACACTAAGACAATATGAATAAAATTGATAACGATGACAAAGACATGCAATTCGGCTAGTCGTTGCATTGGCAGCGACAGTGTGAACAAACACACAGCAATGACGACGGCGCCCAGAAGGCGCGTCGCCAGAGGACGTCGGGGAAGGCCGGCACCGACCTCGTCATCCGCCGACGACGTCGTCGACCGAAGCCAGCTTCGACAGTCATCCGGACGAAGGAAGCACCTGAAAAGAAGCTATCGAAAACTGAAATTACCATCGCTGTACCGTTTAAGTGTTCCAAAGGAGCACTGGCACTTACCCGAAGCTGATGTCGGTTTTGTATTTCAGAACCTCGAAGTTTGTTTTAAAGCAAAATGATGAACCTTTATATCTATGCATGCATCACTGTGAAAGAAAAGAGTCATTCTCCAGTTCTATTTTAGTGTTTTGTCTTGTGTTAACTTATTTTCAACTAACGCTATACAAATGAAAGTGAAAAAGGTAAATTTAGGAATACTTATTCAAGCATTGCCGGGAAGAGCCCAGAAATCAGCTACATTGTCAAAATCGCACGTGGTTAGGGAATTGATAAGAAGCCTACACGCTAAGACTGGATTCAAAATTTTTCGGTAGAAGTGACAACCGTAAAAGAAAGAGGGTAAGGAAACAATATGCTGCCACCGAAAATGATTTTTTTCAACATACTGAAAGAAGTAGATCTATGCAGACCAGGAAAATCACCTGTGGAGAAAGCTGTGAAACACTAAAAACGCAAAAACTTGCAAGAACACCGAAAGTGTGGTAAATAGCGCAATCAACGCTGACATCCAATTTACGATTCTACAAGTCTTCGCGGTTCATCAACGAATCTCTTGTTGCTTTCAAACCTCCGATAACTGGTAGAGTTCGAGGTTAACTACCTCGCTTACATAAAAACCAGCAGTATACGTGAAAATGTCGAGAACCAGCTAAGCCAGACGTACTATACATCTTGACGAATGCCGCAGGACAGAATCAGTATGTAGGTGGGCCCCATTATAGGAATATCGCCTACCTAACAGTCAAATATCTTCGTAAACACTTGAAAGAAAAGCAAAATGCTTTACTTCTCCAGAAGACAGAGTTCATAGGGCCGTTTACATTGAAAAGAAACAGAATCAGATGTGTGGAGAAATAGCTCCAGGCATAATTAGCGATACACCAGTGGATTTTCAGCGAGTATACGATATCACGGTGTTGAAACGTTTCATGGTGGAGACAAAATCGCTGAAGCTGTTCAAGGTCGGACAATTATGAAGCATCGAACAAAGTAAATCGCGGAGATAAATTTGTATAAATGGTATTTATAATGCTCTTCTCTAATGATGACATCTGCTACAGCTTATAAGAATCTTCAAAGAATCACTACAGTAAGGGATATATCGTTAGGAAATTGGCGACACCCATTTGAAACTGCGATGCCCGCAATTGGCGTTGCTCAACTCGACAACCCCTTGCACGGAAGCTCTTCAACAGCTAAATCGTTGCTAGATATGTCTCCAGAAATCTTGTGGACATAAGAAGCATAGAATTCCACCGCAATTAAACATGTGAACTAATATTTTGTTAGAGCACACCTGATATTTCAAACGGTTTTTTCCTTGTCAGGCGTCACTTGTCCTCCTAAAGATCGACATAAGTGAGAGACGATGGTCTCCGTTTTCCCCGTCATTGCCAAAGCTACCCAATAGACTGCGCTCATCCGAAGAACTCAGAAAGCATTTTATTCTTAAAAAGAAGACCAGATATTTGAGGTTTACATTAAAGCGATAGATTATGGAGTAGAAAAGGCCATGGACTCGATTTTCTTTACCTTGGACTGTTCAAAAATGAGTGTTTCACTAGTCCAAGCAGAAAGCAAGCAAAAATAGCTCCAAGTTCGATTGGAGTGTGACTCAAAAGATGACTAAATATTTACCCACTGAAAAACAGTGCCAATATTTTAAAACGGAGAACAAACATTCCAACAAACAAGAAACTACACCTTAGTTGGAGTTTCATCATTTATTCAGACTTTACTCCGTACCTTCTCAACCTAAGCAGTAAAGGATAAAGGAAAAGCTCTGGACGTTGCTCAATCTCTGCCGGATGCGCCATGTACACCACCTCATTGAGAAGCGTTGAACTGATTAAATGCATATCTGATGTGTACGATGACTTGCAGTGGCCAACCTATATGTTAAATGAATGCTGCTATCCTTCCGGACAAATCTAGTACTAATTTCTCGGACCTGCAAAGGTTAAAGTCCTAGTGAACCCGAGATGCGAGATCGAACCAACGACCGATTGTGTATTACAGTGCACCTCTATGCATTGCTTGACACGAACTCCTTAACTGTTCTAATGCGCTTTCATAAATAGTGGCATTACAGGAGAGGAGCACACCGAAGAAATAAAATTACCTTCGCTCTCCCTCGAGCTTTCCATCTATCACTGAGTATCTGAGTATATTCCCTAAAGACAAATCATGTAGATGAACCGTTCGGCGCTGATCAATCTCTGAAAGATGCAGAATCGTTGAGGTGACTGATTGCATACCTGGTTTGCACAGCGACTTTTGTTGGCCTACTGATGCATCAAGACAGTGCTCTTATCCTCCCATAGAAGTCAAGTAGCATTTTGCCAACCTCGGAGAGATGAAAGCCTTGGTGAGCCCGTATGGTAGGATCATACCAGTGAGCGACCCAATGTGTATTGCAGGATACGTTTAACCACTGCGCTACCCACATCACATTCGTTGCTAGTACTGAATTCTTTCCTTCTAACAATGTTTGACGCTTTGATATCAGTTCAGCAACAAACGGTTGCTCATGATCAAGCTTGCAGTTTTAAAGAATGATTATTGACTAATTATTGACTTAACGATTGTTTCAAGAAGTGTCGTCATTCTCTACTAATATTGTCTTTCGTGGTATACGGTACCTACGATGTGGCTTCTATTGTTAAAAAGGACAGACCTTCACACCAGTACAGACCACTTCCAGTGTTCTTTAGTCTATGGCAGGCATGAAGGGCTGTCCGAAGAGGGGTTACGGAACCTCAATGTTTTCTATTCACTCAAATATTTAGCGTCAGTGACGATGAACTTCGCATATAACAAAAAAATAATTGCATTGTAGGGTGAGGATGTCGACGGACATGCAAACGAACGACGAGAAGGAAGAGCAATAAAGTTGTATTTAAACCTACTTTAAAAAAATATACAAGGTGATCGTGAAAGACGAAGCGAATTCGATTTGAGGGTATGGTGGCCATAATCTCTGCATTTTTGGCAGCCGATCCTTGTCTGATCGGAAAGCATGCCAGTGTAGTAAAGGAGATGCCTTGAACATCTGCAATATTGTTAATGTGGATAATATTTCACCATGTAGGATGTTTTTAAAGTTTCTTCTTAGTCAATAGTAAAGCAGAACAAGTGATTGAACTGTATTAATCTAAACTATCAAATGATTGAAATTTCTTACATACAGGAGTTCAGACGAGGATTTGAACTCTCCATATCCACAAAAACTCTGGAAGTATGGACAAGAGTAAATGAGAAGCTGACTATCAAAGAAAGCGTGAGTAAGTGGCTCACTAGGTTAAAACAGGCTCTGTGATCCTCAAAGCGGATTTCAGGAACGCAAGCCGAGGGTAGTTAGGAGTTTAAAGCACTCTCCGTCAGATTAGCAAACGGTAAGGGAAAAAGCTTGTTAAATTGTAAAAACGGCTTCTAGTACACTGCGTTGGTAAATGCAGCTGTGATACGATACAGTTGTGTAGACAAAATACGGCAAGCAATTTCACTCGGTTAACGTCTTGACGTTTTCGTCTTTCTCAGAGCAGATGGTCTAGGTCGATGTCCACAATCGCTCGCGACGTGGTGTGTTCGTCGTCGCATCGAGTCGTAACTTCTTCAGTAAAGCATTGCTTGAATCAGGTAATCTTACCCGGTGATGTTGTTCAACACAGGACGGTTGTTGTTGATAACCGGACAATCCATGCTGTAGAAGTCGGCATCTCTATCCGCTAGCACAGAGCGTAAAGAGGAGATCCGAGTCGACGCGACGACAAAGACACTACATCGAGAATACGAACGATTGTGAACGTCGACTTGGGTTATAGGATCCGATGAAGATGAAAACGTCATAACGATAACCGAATAAAATTGTTTATCAACCTAGTGCTAGCTTATCGATGAAAGAATACACGATGAGCAGTTATACCGAGGTTAAAGGAAAGTCGGTTTTGAAATGTGGAAATGCTGGCCGCGAACCTATTTTAATCACAACGCTCTACTCTCTGGTTGCCTTTCAATGACTCGTGTTGTTATAAGATTGTTAGAGTGAATTTCTAGGCTTTAAAGTACAACTTAATAATAATCATATTACAGTGGTTAATTATGACGTTTCGAACTAGCCTTCCACTCTGACAAACAAAATATCTAAAAAAAATAAGACATGTACAAATACTTGTATCTGCACTCACATTATCCAGTAGTGGTAGGAGATTTATGCTGAAGATGAATTGAGACAGATAAAAATTGACCGCGATGGCCAGAGTTAGCCGAATTCCATTTTCCACAATTTGACCATAGGGAATGCCTAAGACAGATGTTCTCAGCCTCCTCAGCTTCTCCATAGCTCGTTTCGATCAAGTTTTCCTGCAAACAAAATTACTTCATTTAGAGAGGATGTACTTAAGAAGACTTACGAAGAACAAGACAGACGTGAGCTCATCTCTTAACAACTTTGTACTTGATGTGTTTCCACATTACTCTGAAACGATATTGCTGAACCTAAATATTTCACAACGTTGACTTTTTATCTACTGCTTTTTACAGCATTGCGTTGTGTTTTCTTATAGAAGTAAATGTATGCTTTTATGGGGGGAACTACCACCAATACCCTTTCCCCGAACATTCTTTAAACAAGAGCTACCAAATAGCGATATTGACCCTACATTT